CCCAAAATTTATATGTTCTCTCCAAGGGGTGGTAGAATAGGACTTTGACACACTAGATATAATAATCTAGTAACCAAAAGTATCAATAGAAGTAAAGGGGGATGACGTCACAAGTAAGGATACTTGATAAGTTGATAAAGTCACAAAAGAACTACGTAAGGAGTAAAAACTCTCAAAAGAATTGTATTCCATAAATATCTAATCTCTTACAAAGCAAATGGCCTAAGTATTTATAATGATTGAAGGGGCATAGCCGAATGGTTACATGATTTTTCAGCCAGCCTTGTTTCTATTCCTAAAGTCATTATTTATTAAATACAAATAAATGAAATAGAGGTGTTAGTTCAGCTAGTATGTTAGGACATTATGCTTGGGTGAATAATACTTGTTGCTCTTCAAGTTGGCGTCATTTTGAGGGGTTCCAAGCCCTTAGTTGAATGGTGTGCATTCTTTGGCACCTAAATTAATGGTCTATGGGAAAGCCTTGTGTTGTCATGCGTAGGATATCTTCCTTGGTGTCATATGCTTGATATGCCCTTTCTTGATGTATCATATGTTCCACGCCTAAAGTAAGTTGTTATGCTCGGCCATAGTTGTAATACCCAAAATAATAGGTCAGTGATTAAATTAAAAGGAATTAAAATTTGGAGGAATAAATTAACTAATTGGTAAAGTATAAGAAATGACTTAAGTAAGACTAATTTGTAAGAGATAGTTTGTTGAAAGGGCATTTTGGTCTTTTAGGTGAAATGAATTTAAAACCCATTTAAATTAGGGATTTAAGAAAAAGAGGAAAGTGAAAAACTTACTTCACTTCTTCTTCTTCTTCTTCCCGTGGGTGAGAGTGTCCATTCAAAGCTTAAGGTAAGTTTCATTTAGCTCATGTTTTCGGTTGATTTTGGTTGGTTCTTGTAACCTTAAGTGTTATGTAAGCTTAAGGAAAGGTTATATGAGATTAAAACTATTAAATGGAGGAAATATTAGATATTTAAGAAAATGGGTTTTAAAATGATATGTTGTTATATGAGTGTTTATTGATGTTTATTGGTAGAATTGACTTGTCAAAGTAGTAAATAAGAGATTAGAAGCATTGGATGAGTTTAAAAACAAGTTAGAAATTTTGGTATGATTCTTAGAATCCAATGATCTTGGGGGGTACCAGATGTTTTAAGTATTAAAATGAAGGAATGTTAGTATAGATAGTTAAAGAAGAGTTTGATATTATTATATGGTGTAAATAAAACAAAATTTGACCCCATTTATGTAATAATCGGGTTGAAAACTGGAAAATCTTGGCAAAGGTATCGGTACTGATAGAACAGTATCGATACTATAGGCTAAAATGGGATGTATTAACTGAGTAGTATCGATACTGATTGATTCAATCAGTATCGATACCGACGAGGTAGTATCGATACCATGGTAAGGGTATCGATATCAGGCAACATCGAATCTAAAATTGGTATCGATGCCGGAAGGGGTATCGGTACCATAGTATAGAAGTATCGGTACCAGGGTAGTAGTATCCATACTATTGAGCTTGTAACGACCAATTAGATTGAAATTGTTATAAAAGGTCAATAATATATACTCTTGAATAACGTTTGAGTATAATTGTTAGGAAATATAATAACAATTGATATTGTACGTGTCGTTATTTGGATGCTTGAATAGATCAAAATCAAGCTCTTGAGTTAAGCAAAACTAAAGACAAAAGCAAAGTACCACAGTGATCAACTTTGCATTTTGCGTATAATAGCTAGACAATTCAGGTGAGTGCATTTAATTGTGTAACTATATGTTGTACCAATCATATATGTATGATTGTTTAATATGTATGTGGGGATTACCAAATAGGCACTATGTGTGCAAATCCACTGAATTCATCATGAGTTGATGAATAACCGCACTGGCACTATGTGTGCAAATCCACGAAATTCATCATGAGTTGATGAATAACCGTACATGCACTATGTGTGCAAAACCACATAATTCATCATGAGTTGATGAATAACTGTACATGCACTATATGTGCAAATCCACGAAATTCATCATGAGTTAATGAATAACCGTACAGGCACTATGTGTGCAAATTCACGGAATTTATCATAAGTTCATGAATAATAGTACAAACATTATGTGTGCAAATCCACGAAATTCATCATGAGTTGATGAATAACCGTACAGGCACTATGTGTGCAAATCCACGGAATTCATCATGAGTTGATGAACTACCGTATAGGCACTACGTGCGCATCTTAATAAATGAACATGAATAGGAAATTGGTAAATTACCATGTTAGCACTAAGAGTGCAAATGTATAAGGTTTATAATAAATTATAAAGAGTTAATTGATATTATAAATAATTATTAGAGTATAAACTAGTCCAAAATAAAAGATTAATGGCCTAACTGTGCAAATGGAAGAAAGGTGTCAATTATGCCAGTTAGATGAACGGTTAAATACCGTTGAGTAAAAGAATAATGTCCTAACTGTGCAATTGGCAGAAAGGTGTCAATTATGCTAGATGAACGATTAAACACTGTTGAGTAAAAGATGAAGGGTTAAACATTGTTGAGTAAAAGAATAATGGACTAGTTATGGATTGGACAGAAAAGTGTCAAATATGCAAGTTAAGTGAAAAGCTAAATAACTTTGGGTAAAAGAATAAAGGAATTATAATGTAATGTGATATGAATGGAATATAAGTGATATGAAGGGATGGTATATATATATATCGTACAACAATGTATAACTAGTATGAAGGGATGTTATAAAGGAAAATGTAAACAAAACATAATGGGCATGAAAGGATACCCAAATGAAAATACAAAATGGTGTATTAACAGTATTTAAGGTGTCGCCATAATGATTATAAAAGATACATGATCCATTAGTACCTTGGTGTAATTACATGTATAGTACTTTCACATTTAATGTACATAGGGCATATAAAGAATAAAGGCGGAAAATATATAGAATGATAAGTATGATGAACATACTGAGAATAATTTCCATGATGGTATGAAAGAATTATGGTTTAACTGAGATGGGCTTAACTGGTCCTTATGAATGATGAAATTAAATTCTTCATTCAGTATTCATAAGATATTATCGTATAATTGTAATATCCTTGCAGTATTATGTCTCACTAAGTAAATACTTAATGTGTGTTTATTTCACGCGTAGGTAAAGGCAAAGATTAGTTGTGTAAGGAGTATAACAGTAGCAACACCTTTCATCAATTAAAGGTTGACTCATCAGTAACATTATGACAATCTTATTCATTTTGGGAACTTAATTGGCATGTAATTAAACTATAGTAAATATTTTGTAATGTACTTAAGTGATAGTTTTAGTATGTTGCTTTTATAAATATCATATTTTGTAGTTGATCAAATTGAAACAATTTTTTACGGGTTTTCAAATGAAAAAAAGTTTTATAAAGTGACGTAACCTCTGTATTTCGTGTACTGAAAGGTATACGAGATATGGGTGTTACAATAATTCTCCTTAGGTTCTTAGGTGACTTAGGTAGGTGTTATGTAGGTAGCTAGGTGAGTTAGAGCTAGGTATACTTAAGCTATCTAGCTAGTGACACTCCAGCTACTCAACTACCATCTGAGCTACACTTCAATTGCCTTTAGTCCTTAGCTTGGCTACCAAGTCCTCAGCTAACATCTGAGCTACACTGCAATTGCCTTTAGTCCTTAGCTTGGCTACCAAGTCCTCAGCTACCTTCATCTCCTCGGCTCCTTTAGCTAGCCTTTCAACTCCATTAAGCTCCTTTGAGTTGAGTGAGCTATGCATTCACCTTTCAAGTTATCTTTTAGCTGCCACACTTGTCTTTAAGCTCCACCATGCTGCCATTTAATGCCTCACAATTGTGTCTACCTATGAGAATAAATAAAAAACCAATGAATAATGTGGAAGCTAGAAATGAATCAAATACATGTTGCCACTTATGCTAATCATGTATTTAAGCTAATATAAAATAGGTATGAATGCATGAGCTATCGTAATCTTAACATAAGCTATGCATGAACTATGAAATGTCATAAATATTGTGTTTAAGCTAGGAATGAAAGTAATTCATGTAATATGCATATTTAAACCTAAGTATAGTAATGTAAGGCTAAATATGCTACATTTCAAATTGTAATATGTTATATAATTTATCCTACATATGGGGTATCTTTTCAAAAGAATCAAAAACATTGAGACATTCGAGTGAAATGACTTCCCTTAATTGTTTAGCCCCTGAACGAGTAATAGGTCATTGTGGTAATGTCTCCGGGTCAAGTGTGGGCGTGCACATATCACTTTACAAAAAAAAAGTTTCATATTCTATTAATTTTTACATTAGTTAAATATCAAATAAATATAAAACATGATCAAATGATTAGGGTGCGCTAAATATCGAGTATTAAATTTGATCTCTTTTTTCTAAAAAAAAAAGTTTGATTTCTCTCATGATTCTTCTTCTTCAATTTATTTTTTCTAAATAGATGATAATACATAAGTGGAACAGTTAATGGTGATCTATAATACATTTTAAAATTTTTACTTTTAAAATGATTTTAAAATGATTATTCTTAAAAACTTAAATTCGAACACTATAAATTATAAAAATATATTATATTTTATTATTATATAATAAATATTTTAAAATAAATATTATCTTATAATCACATTAAATTAATAAAAAATTCGTTGAATCTAACATAATTAAGGGAATTATTCTAGGAGAAAACAAGTGGGATAATTAAACCGACCCAAGTACAGTATTTTGGTTGCGTGACTAATGGCGAAACTGAGTTGGGCCATAGCCAACACAAAATTCAAAGTTGAAACCCCAATGCGGCAATTTCCTTTGTTGCCTAATTTTATTTCTTTCGAAGGTTCAAGGCGCGTATGACCTCCTAAAAGTCCATTCATCCTTATAAAACGGACTTTCGCAAACAAAAACAAGCACCCAAGAAACTTTGAAAGTTCTTCGTTTCCAACATTTCTTTTATCTCTAGCTCCGCCTCGCTCGCTCCTCCTAAATTCTTTCGGGCCATGAAGTCGCAGCGTAGTCCCAGGAAGATCTCCCTTAAATGGATCCCATTTATCTGCATCTCCTTCTTTACTCTCGGAATCCTCTTCAGTAACAGGTCTCTCTTTCTTTGTATCTTTTTCAGTTCTTTCTTCGCAGTACTTTTAGTTAGATCTATTGATGAACTGGGCCCGTCGTTTTTTCCCCTTTAATTCTTGTGATGAGTTTATTTTTGGGTAAAGTACTCCATCGACTTTAGAAAGTTATCTTGTTGAATCCTCCTATTAAAAGTTTACAAAATGATTTTGCATAATTCATATATTCCAATTTTTTTTAATTATATAATTGCCTGATTTGAACATGCAACGTGCTGATTCAGATATTGTAAATCTGATCAAGAAGCATTTGAATTCAACCATTTTATAATTTTAGCAGTGTTGATGGATGGATCATTTGTGTATTTTACTCTTATTTTTTGATATATTTCTAACCATTGGATTTTGATTACAGGCTATGGGTCTCACCTGAATCCAACGGTCAACTTTTATCACAACGTCGACGGGAACAGGAGTTGCAGATTGTCTCCGATGATAGCGGTACAAAGAAAGTATGCTTTCGAAATCACTATCACAGTTAACTTCTGGATTTTTTTTTTTTGCTTTAAAGCAAAAATTATGTTTCTAACAGAGTTTTTACTATGTTTAAATAGACGCCTGCACAACATAATGATGTAATGGGTGAAGTTTTAAAAACCCATGAAGCAATTCAGTGAGTACAAACTTGGGTTCTCTTTATTTTAGTTAATTTTTTTTTTTAGCTAATTTCATTGTAATTTATGATCTTTCATGAGGCCTTACAGATCTCTAGACAAGTCAGTCGCAATGCTAGAGATGCAGTTAGCTGCTTCACGTAGTTCTCAGGAAATGGAGAATTTGGATGCCTCCAGAGTCGTCTCGACCTTGGCTCCTGATCAGCCGAGGAAGAAAGTGTTCATGGTCATTGGAATCAACACTGCTTTTAGTAGTAGGAGGCGGCGTGATTCTGTCCGGGAGACGTGGATGCCACAAGGTTTCTTAGTTTCCTCAGTTTTTTTTTTAATTTTAGGTTTCGATATTAGTTTTCTAGTATTTATCATCTCAAATTAATTCCTTTGTTTATGATTGAACAGGGGACAAGCTTATTCAGTTGGAGCGCGTGAAGGGGATTGTCATTCGCTTCATGATCGGTCATAGGTAAATAATTTTAAAGAAAGAGAAAACTTAAGATCGAATTGTTATTTTTAATTCATATGGATATTTCTTGTTACAAACCCTAGTAGACTGAAGTTGATATGGATCAACTGGCAATGTTAAGAAAATGACATTGTTACGATGCGGTCAATCTGGGATAAAAATACTTAAGTAAATATTTTAACTGACATAATTTGAATCTGCTTTGTTTGTTCCAGTGCAACATCCAGCAGCATTTTAGATCGAGCTATTGATTCAGAGGACGCTCAGCATAAGGACTTCCTTAGACTGGTTAGACAGCATTCCTGCAGTAGTTTTGGATATTCTTACGTATTTTGGCATTTCTTACCAATATCCAGTTTCAATCTTATAAAACAGGAGCACGTTGAAGGATATCATGAGTTATCCGCAAAAACAAAAACTTTCTTTTCTACCGCAGTTGCAAAATGGGATGCTGAATTCTATGTCAAGGTGGATGATGATGTCCATGTTAATCTTGGTTGGTTTGCCATCTCTTTTGCTTCTCTTTTGGTAATCTTAAACAATTTATCACATCATCATAATGGTGAAGAACAAATATTGGTTGTCTCGTATGTTGAATTTATCGTGCATATTTTCTCATAGGCATGCTAGCCACAACCCTTGGCCGTCATCGATCCAAGCCCAGAGTCTATATAGGGTGCATGAAATCTGGACCTGTTCTTTCTCAGAAGTAATTTCCCTGTCACCTATTTATCGTTCATAATTTAACTTTTCAATTTGCTTTGTTCCCTCCTGCAATATTTTTATATAACTTTTGTTTCATTTGTTTCTGTTCGTTAGGAATGTCAAGTACCATGAACCAGAGTACTGGAAATTCGGAGAAGAGGGGAACAAATATTTTCGACATGCAACTGGGCAGATATATGCAATTTCAAAGGATCTGGCAACCTACATATCCATAAACCAGTAAGAACTTTGTTTTTTTCCTTGAAGTAGCCTGTGTTTTGTTTATATATTACTTTGCCTAATGGAGGATTCCGATTTTGTTATCGCGGTCCTTCGTCTGTGGTTGGCAGTGCCTTACAGTCATCCCTTTGACTTAAGTTCTCTTATTCTGTTAAAATTTGGGGATCATTCAAGCCCTTAAAGTGTAGATCTAAATGGAAATCCCCAAGATCATTAAATTTCTTTGCAAATTTATATCCTTGGCCTTTATGGTTAACTCAGACTAGTGAATTTCATTTTCCATATGCTATTTTGACTTTGTAACTTTTCACCTTTGGTTTTCCAGTTTTTGTCCCTAATAATAATGTCTGAAAAAGGCATCACTAATATTCCAAGTGATCCTGGCTGATTGCAGGCCTATTTTGCATAAGTATGCTAATGAAGATGTGTCCCTCGGGTCATGGTTTATCGGACTCGAGGTTGAGCACATAGACGATAGGAATATGTGCTGTGGGACTCCACCGGGTAATGCTTTAATCTTGTATCGAACTTCCATGAAGACCAATAAATGGAAAACAGAGATCTCTAAATGCTTAGAACTCTTTGCTATTTTGTTCTTCCCTGTTTAACTCCTGGTTTGTTTCCTGTTCTGCAGATTGCGAATGGAAGGCACAAGCAGGTAATGTCTGTGTTGCATCCTTCGATTGGACCTGCAGCGGAATCTGCAAATCCGTGGATAAGATCAAAATCGTTCATGAAAGGTGTGGTGAAGGAGACGATGCGGTTTGGAATACATTACTCTGAATTAATTCGGCTAAATCGCATGTCTTGCGGCGAACGAGAATGAACAAGCCGATTTTAGCCAACGAAGTAGGAGGAAACATTGCATATGGTTTCAATACATGTCAGCAAACACATCTCCCTCAAATTGTTGCTTGAAATCTTCTAGGAAAAATGGAGAAAAAAAAATCAACATTTAGATGGGAGCTTTTTAATCAGAAAAGCTAATTATTCCCATTTTTTTAATTGTGCTCTGATTGTATTCTATGCTTGTAAAATAGTGTGTTAGTGATATATGGTGATCAATACTATTGTTAGTTATAAAGCACACAGTTGAGAACTTTAGATGAATTCATTTCATTTCCGAGTATGTTGTTAGCTGTATCAATATTTTTGTGTGATGGCATATCCATTTTTGTGGATGTTTGTTACATTTATAACAGTTATACAAGTTGTTTCATCTGTTTTTAATGGCATAATGATAAACTTTATATTCCTGCATAAATGATCATTTTTATCGTTATATATTATTTAAAGTATTTTATTTTTAATATTTTTATTTTTTTTATAAAAATAATTTTTGTTAGAAGAAAATTGTTAGTTGACTATAAATCAACGTATGATATTAATATGTTATTTTCACATTTATTTAATTATTGAGGTGACATGTATTAGGTTACATGTAACTCCAAGTGATAATGTAATAAGTATCGATATGTATTATGTCACCAAAGAGATAATATGATTTATGTCAAGTTATCAATTAAATATACGTAAAAGATATTATGTTAATAGTATTGCTTAGCTATTAGTTAATTAATGATTTTCTTTAATATAAATAACTAACAAATGATTTTCTTTAGTATAAAATATTTAGATCAAAAATTAAAATGTTAGAAGATTAAGGCATTTCAAAAAAAATTAAACTAACATTATACAAATATTTGAAAATAATTTTATCACTGTACTTTTTTTATTAAAGATAAATCAATTATTAGGATGTTTCACTTTCATTTTGTGACCCAATAGAAATTGAAAGTTTAGTCACTTTACCAAGTACTTTCTTAATTGGTTGGATAAATGTAATTAAAATTTTTGATATAATAAAGGTTTAAATTGAAAATTTGATAAAATTAATATTTTATTCGATTCAATAATTTTAAGTTTGTAAAAATAAGTTTTAATGTTCAAAATTTTCAAAAATAAAAATTAAAAGTTTTTATGAATTTTATAAAGTATTTAAATATTTTTTAAACATGAAACAAGGCTATTTTCAGCAATTTTGGGTCTGGGGGGTTTCGAACCCCTAAGGTAGTAACTCAAAATTACTTAAGGTTTCGAAACCCACTCTATAGGTTTTGAAACCCCTCTGCCCAATGGTCAATTTATTAAAGGCGGGTTTCAAAACCCCCTGTATGGTTTCGAAACATTTGTGCATGATTGCATTCAATATGCGAATATATTACTCCAAAGGGCTCCAAACTCCCTCCAACAAGCCCAAACGGCTAGAAATCAATGAAGGCATATAAAATGGGTCTTCAAACAGCCAATAAAAGACAAGAAAGCTATTCCAACAATCAAAGAGCATTCACAGCAAAATTTGTAATCCATTTTGTCTTTCTTATATAGAACACTATTCCATTCTTTGTAATTTTCATTCTAGTGTTCTTGGGTGTGTGAGAGCTTCAATTTGCAAAAATCTTACCTTGTGAGGATATTCAAAAGTTTGCTTCTTTGTAATTTCTTCTTAGGAAGGGTTGCACATTTGAGACTTCGGGGAATAAGTCCAAGTGTGTTGTAAGGTTACACCTTGTCCTAAAATGTTAGAACAAATTAGTGGATCAGTTGAAATCCTTAGTGTGAAAGCGAAGGTAGTGGATGTAAACTTCATTGAAGAAGTTGAACCACTCTAAAATTGCTTGTGTCATTTTTTCATTTTCTTGCAAAAAGTTTTCATCATTATTCTAATTGTCATTTCATCCCCTCTTGGACATTCCAGTTATTCAATTAACTCAAAAATTGGTAAGCTAAACTCATTGGAAGGTTTTACCACCTCTTAAGAAGATACTAGAAGAGTCAAGTCATCCATGGCCTCTACACTAAGTTTCGACGGTATCAATGATTCCCAACCTATCAACAAGCCTCCTTTCTTCAATGGAGCCAACTATGCTTATTGGAAGAATATGACGATGCTTTTCATCCAAGCTAGTGATTTAAGAGCTTGAAACATCATCTTGAGTTGACATTCTACTTCAACTAGACCGATGACAGAATGGAGTGAATAAGAGAGAAGATTGTTCCAACTCAATGCAAAGGCAATGCACATTCTATTTTGTGTACTTGGTCCCGATAAATATGGGAGAGTTTCATCATGTTTGAATGCCAAGGATATTTGGGACAAACTTGAAGTTACTCATGAAAGAACTAACAAGGAAAGAGAAACTAAGATTAGTCTTCTCAATCATAATTATGAAAACTTCAAGATAAGACCTGATGAGGATATTAAAAGCATGACCAATCAATTTTCGATTATTATAAATGGTCTTAAAGGCTTTGGAGAAGTCATTCCTAATGAGAAGCTTGTTAGGAAGATGATCTATAGTCTTCATAAGTCATGGCAATCCAAGAAGACCATTATTGTTTAAGCAAAGAATCTAAAGACTCTCAATCTAGATAAGCTCATTAGGCCTTTGCTCACACATGAGATGATGGTGAAGGAAGAAGAAGAACAAGAGGGAAAAAATGAGGAAAAAAAGGAAGTTGAGAAGAAGAAAAAGGTTGGTGTTGCTCTCAAGTCTACATAAGAAAAGAGTGACTCAAATGAAGATGATGAAGATGAAGAAATGACAATGTTTGCCAAAATATTCAAAAGACTCAAAGAAAAGTGGGCTTAAAAAATGAATCCAAGGAGAATGATCCTATTATTTGCTATGAGTCCAAAAAGCCCAGGTATGTCAACTTTGGATGCCCGCAATTGAATAAGAATATATCCTCCAAGAAAAAAACACAAGGCACATGTAGCTACATGGAGTGATGACGAGTCCTCCAATGATGAAGTGGAATAAGTGGCTAACTTCTGTCTCATGGCCATAAAGGATGATTCTAAGGTAACCTCTAATTCTTCTATTTCAAATGATTATTCCTTTGATGAATTACAAGAGGCTTATGATGAATTACCTTTAGAATTTGAGAACATGATTTCAAAGCATAAGAAAAATATTTCAAAATTGAAAAATGAAAATGTTCTCCTTTCTAAGACTAATATTGAACTTGAAATTCAAGTCAAAGATATGCAAGTAAAACTTGACGAATTTGAAAAGAAAAATCAAGACTTGCATAACTTACTTTCAAAGGTTCATGATGATCATCAAAAGAAGCTTGATGATTTTAAAGCTTCTTTTAACCATATTGGGACAAAAAGATTTGAAAAAGGTGAAAATTCAAAGTCCAATTATGTTAAAAATAACTTTAATTATTACAAGCATACAAGTCCCCAAATAACCTCATATAAAAAAATTATTAGAAGAATATGGGTCCCCAAAGGTCTCATTGCTACTAATGATAAGGATATCCTTGAAAAATAGATACCAAAGGGGACAAGATTATTGGGAACTAATGGCAATGGACCCAAAAGAATTTGGGTACGAAAAATGAAAATTTAATCTATGTTTGTAAGAGGAGCATTGGTATAAGGCACAAAAAAAAGTTAAAATTCATGGTACCTTGATAGTGGATGCTTAAGACACATGATTGATGATAAGAGCTAGTTCTTGAGCTTAAAGCTAAATGTATAGGAGTAATAACCTTTGGTAACAACTCAAAAGGTCACACTGAATGAATTGGTTCTATTAGTAACAAATCTTCCGTACTTATTGAAAATGTTTTGTATGTTAATGTGCATAATCTACTTAGTATTAGCCAACTTTGTGATAAGGGATGCAAAAATTATTGGTCATTTCATTTAATAATATTATGCTTGTTGGTCATAGGATATGAAATATCTACATGATGCATTTAGATAATATTAATATTTCAAATGTTTGTTTGGTTGGTAAGGATAAGCATGATTGTTGGTTATGGCATAGGAAACTTGAACATGCTAGCATGAGTGTTTTACAAAAACTTGTTTAAGGCAATCTAGTAAGAGGTTTGCCTAGGATAAAATTTGATCTTGATAAAATTTGTGATGCATGTGCTAAGGGAAAACACAAAAAATCTTCTTTTAAACCTATTAATGATGTATCATATAGTAAAGTATTACAATTGATTCATATATATCTTTTTAGGCCAATTAGAACTTCTAGCTTGGGTGGAAAACAATATGCATTTGTCTTGGAAGATGATTACTCTAGATACACATGGGTTCTTTTCTTAAGTACAAAAGTTGAAGCTTTTAAAAATTTCATCACTTTATCTAAAATAAACCAAAACAAAAAAGGATACTCAATTTCAAGTGTTAGGAGTGACCATGGAACTAAATTTGAAAATATCAATTTTGGTTAATTTTGTAATTCTAATTTTCAACCCCTAGAAACCCTAAAAAAATAGAGTTATTGAGAGGAAAATAGAACTTTAGAGGAAATGGCTAGGACCATGCTTTGTGAAAACAAATTTCCAAAGTATTTTTGTGCGGAAGCCACAAATACCGCTTGTTACATGATTAATAGAGTAATGATTGAGCCTATTTTAAAGACAACTCCATATGAACTTTTCAAAAATAAAAAGCTTGACATTAGTTATTTTCATCATTTTGGATGCAAGTGTTTTGTTTTAAATAATGAAAAAGATAATCTTGGCAATATTTATGCAAAAAGTGGTGAAGGAATTTTTCTTGGTTATTCTTCAAATTCTAAAGCTTATCAAGTCTTTAATAAAAGAACTCTAGTGGTAGAAGAGTCTATACATGTTGTTTTCGATGATAATCCCCTTCCGAGGAAGGATTCTTATGTTGATGATGATATAGGTATCCTAAACTCAAATGAAATTGGTGAATCATCATTGAAAGAAATAATGAATTAGGAAATTCAAGATGCCCTCAAGAATCTAACTCTAGAGGAAAGGGAGGTCTCATACCCAATGGAGTACAATAATGTTAAAGGTGGTGAAATTTTGGGTGATCCATCCAAAGGCAACCACTAGATCTTATCTTAAGAATATTTGTAACCATGTTGGATTTATATCATGCATAGAGCATAAGAATGTTAAAGAAGCACTAAATAATGAACATTTGATTATGGTTGTGCAAGAAGAGTTAAATTAATTTGAGAGAGTAAGATATGTACATCAGTTGAAAGGCCTAGTAATAAGTCTACTATAGATACTAAATAG